AGAAATATTGTACATAGGACAATGACACCTCAGTCCCATTCAAAGTAGACACCTTAGGACCTCATGCAGTTCTCCTGATCACCATCAGCTGCCCTGAGGTGTTTTCCTGAATCTCATTGATAGTCTGAAATCTCTTCCCTTTCAAAGATAATTTTAGTTTTGGGAAAAGGCAGAAGTTTCAGAGCACCAAATATGGGTTGTAGGAGGCTGAGTCACCTGGGTAATCTGGTGTTTCACCAAAAAACTCTGCATGAGATGTAATACATGAGCAGGTGCATTGTTGTAATGAAGTTGCTAATTACCAGTTGCCCATAGCTGTGGCCTTGTGAATCATTCCAAGAGTTTCCCTGGAGGAATGTTCAAGCTTGACACAAAATTTAATGCAGACTCATTGCTCTATTCATTCAGTCATTTTGAATGTTATGGCCAGACAGTACACACGCTCATTCAGTGGCATCTACCACACCCACTGACTAGTACACTGAAGTCATCATTGTTCACACATGCACATTCCAGTCCACTCTCCTTGGCTGACAGTTACATGAATGTTGGTCAAACAATTCTCGTTATGTTAACAACGGCTGCACTTTTTCTGGACAGACCTTGGAAATCCCTCCTCCCTTCTTAATTAAGTTCATTTAACTTTTTATTATCAAATAAATATAAGAAGTACTGAGTTTACAAAGACAAAAACATTTCTTTCTACCTGAACTATTTAAAGTCTTCAATGCACAAATCTTCACTACAGACTTCCAGAAATATATGAAAATACTTACTTGGAAATGAAAATACATGTACTTATTTTGTTCTGTTCTGTTCTTTCTCTTTCCAGAACATCATGAATATTGTCTCAGAAATGCTGTTCTAGGCTATGAACATACAATGCCTCGGTGTGTCACTTTAATTTCCTTTTATCCTTACCTGAGGACATTCTCCCATTGCTTCTAGAGAGAGAGGAAGGGAAAGAGAGAACATTCATGCAAGAGAGAAGCACTGGTGGCTGCCTCCTGTATGCACCTGGACTGGGGCTTGCAGGCACCCCAACAGAAGATTGAACCCACGACCTAGGTATGTGCCCTGGCTGGAAATTAAACCTGCAGCCTTTTTTGGTTACAGGATGATGCTCCAACCAACCGAGCCACACTGGCCAGGCTTCAAGGTACCACTTTAGAAAATGTATGAAAAACTTTTTAACCAGGTGCCTCGTTAGCATAGTAGGTAGCATGTCAGTCTCATAAAAACTCTTTTAACTAATACTGAAAATCTAGAAGATATAAATTAATAAGCCATGAATAGTCAGCTATTTAAATATTTAAGAATCTAAAGCAAAGATACCATAAATAAAATCAATACATAAGTAATAGCTGAAGAAATATCACAGTGCAAAAGAGACAGAAGGTTAATTTTTTAATGGCAAAGAGCATCAACAGTTTAAAAGAAAACAATGAACAACACAATCGGCAATTTAAGAACAAATCAAGACAAATTACATAGTAATGACTTCTCATGAATACCCACCACACTGGGAAAGCAGATAACAAATATTGCTGGCTGGGAAGCAGTAAAATGGGTACTTATATCTTGCTACCAAAGTGTATAAGTTACAGTTCTTGGAAATCAAAGTTGCCTCCTTTATATTTAAAAAATTGTAAGTTATTTAATCCATAAATATCTCTCCTTGGTAATTATTCTATAAGAATAAAAAACTAATATGTGTATGTGTATATTTTTAAAATACCATTATACTTAATAATGGCATTTTAAATCTAAAAAAGTTAATGCTTATCAATGAGATGTAATTTACCATGGCATATCTACACCCTTGAGTATCATGTCACTATTGAAAATAATGCATCAGAGCTCCACATTTGCCTTGAAGGAATATTCTAAAGGTGCTTTTAAAAGACAATAAGTTGTGTGTAATATCATTTTACACTGCAAGCAAATGACAAATGTGTGTGTGTGAAATTATTTGAGCATATAGAAAGTTAACTGAGAAAACTTAAAGGCTCCATAAATGGGGGAAGCAACAAACAGGAAAAAAGTCTATTAAAATAAAAATAGTACACAAATTATAGTTATTCACTTGTATGTAGTTACAAACATGTTTGATATGTAATGATTTAAAATTCTAGCATCTAAATAAAGAGAATAATATTTAATTTTTTAAAATCTTAATTAAAAGTTGGCAGCTAGTGAAACTTCACAAAAAACCGTGACTGGTAATTTTCCCCACTCTCTCCAATAACCTTATTACCCTTGAGGGATGGCCATGAGCATCATGCATTTCTGCAACAAATGCGTATGGATTGCCCACAATGATCTAAGCAACAGGGGCACAAGCTGGATACTTACTGTCCCTATCCTTGAAGAGCTTAAAGCCCAGTGCAGGGAGTTTTATGAGAAAACAGCTGTCACATATAGACTTCATGTTAAAATGAAGGTATATGGAATGTTTTGGGGACACGGCAGATGCCAATGATTTTAAAATGAGGTGCTGTTTAAGTTGAGCTAAGAAGAATGAAAATGGTACAGATGATATATAATCAAGAGAGAAGAAACATTTAATGGTGTATAGGCATGAAAGCCTTCGAGTGTACTAAAATAATATGTAAACTCTCTTGTATAGATGAAGTATGGCATATTTGACTAGATGTATAGGGTCAAATACTGTGTACAGAAAAGGACCTTACTGTGGACAGAAAGGGACCACATACTAAACCTGACAAGCTCGGGGGAGGCCTGCCTGGAAGCCTTACGAACTCAGAGACTGAAGTAACCACAAAGGGTGGTCTGAAACGAAAACTTTCTAACTAAAAGCAGATCATGGTGGGCAGTCATGTCCTAGGCTAGAGTCTTCCCTGACAAGTCAGTCTTGACCTTAACTGAACCTGTCTGTCATCTTTTTGCATCTATGATCACACACCTGTGGGATGTCAGATTTCCCTTTTCTGGACCCCCCCCCCAAGCATGAGCACCCACTGGAGCAGGGACCACAGAGCTCCCAACTGTCATTCTTATTGTGTTAATCATTGACTGTTAACTATCCTGCACCCACCTGTGAAAAAGAAGTGTGTCTATCATTTTACTTTTTATTCAGTTCCAGGGACTTCCCCACTTTGCTTTCTCCCACCTCCCTAATCCATCACCAATGGGTAGCATGGAACCCACTTACACCTCCTCTTTCGATTGTAATGTATAAAACAAGGCACCAAACTGCCATCCTCAGAAGCATTTTCTCAATCCCTTGTGCTTTTTCTTCCTGGCAATTGTGGTCAGTTTGTTTCAAATAAACTCATAAAAATTCTTACAGGTTTGGGTGTTTCTTACATTGACAAAACAGAAGCTTGAAAGTTCAGGTGGGGCCTGACTGTTTATAGGTCTTAAGTGTCAGGTAAAGAATTTGGACTTTTTCACAAAGGCCACAGGGAACCACTGCATGGTCCTAAATGGGAGAAAAGAATAACTAGAATGCCACCAAAATTTACATTCACCTAAAATGGCTTCAATTGGGAAGCATTTCATCCTGCAAGAGGACAGACTGATTGGATTTCAGCACTTCGGGGTGGGGGGGGCGGAAATGCAGCATTCCACACTCTTTGTTTCTTCACACCCAGAAGCCAAACCACTGAGCCAATAACAGCATTTATCTCCAACGTCCTCAGAAGCACCTCTTCCTTTCACAGTATGGGGTGTTCCCTGGGGTTTGGGGGTCTCATAAGTAAAAGGACAGTAGTTCACCCCTAGGGGCGAAGCCAGCCAGCATTTCAGTTAATGGTTGAGGTCTGAGAAGATTCTCATTAGAAACTTCACAGTGAGCTGACCCCTGAGTTAAAAGAAGTTATACTTATTAGTGATTCTTATGATAAACTCTTGGTCTCCCTCAATCTCACCCAGCTGAGTGGAGAACGGGGGGTGTTATAAGTAATTTTGCTTTTGCAGTGCTGTTGACTATTGGAGGCATATTTTTTGAGAGGATGATCATGTGTGCCTCACACCCAGTGCCACACCCAACCCCAAGCCACCACCATTCCAGGTAGAAATGCGAGGCCACAGTCAGCAGCCCAGCTGTTACTCTCCTCTTGTTTTCAGATGCTGTGGGGGATGCCTTCAGGCCTTAGAGTATGAGAAAACTGGGGAAATCGGAAGAGTAATTAGAATCTTTTTTTTTAATTTTTATATTAAATTTTATTTAGTTACTTTTCAAGTACATTTTTTTTTAATCTATTTCTCCCATCCCACCCCACCCCCCCGCCCGGTCTCCCCCCTCCCTCTCATTCCCCCCCCCCCCCCCCCAGTCCTCATCTCTGTGTCTTTCACACTTGTTCCTCAAAATCCCTCCCCCTTTTTCCCCTTAAGTTCCCTTCCCTCTCCCCTCTGGTCGCTGCCCACTTGTTCTCTATTTCAGCGTCTTTGTTTTTATTCTGTTTGCTTGTTTGTTTTATTCTTTGCACCACAATGTTCATAGCAGCACAATTTACAATAGCCAAGAGTTGGAAGCAACCTAGGTGCCCATCAGTAAATGAATGGATCCAAAAATTGTGGTACATATACACCATGGAATTCTATGCAGCAGAGAGAAAGAAGGAGCTACTACCTTTTGCAACATGGATGGAACTGGAAAGCATTATGCTGAGTGAAATAAGCCAGGCATTGAAGGACAAATACCGTATGATCTCACCTTTGACAGGAAGTAATTAGAATCTTAATGAATCTTTTCTTCTGTTTAACTATCAGCAAGCAGCTCTTGGCTGATAGAAATCTTTACCACAAAAGGGGCTTTGATTTCCCTGGCTGGAGTTTCTTAACCAGACAAGAAACACTTGTGTGTGCATGTGTGATAGAAATCCTGGGACCCACTTGGAGGAGGCTCGGGATGTTTTAGAGAGTGCCTTTCTTCCCAGCCACCTCCCTTATGTAGATCTGGTTTCATCTGGAAAGTGAAGATCCATTTGGATATATTTCTTATGTAATGTTCCCACAGAAATCTCTAAAGAAGAATGGTAACAGGAAATCATCCCACAGCTACCCTGTTCATTTTCGTGGGTTTGACACAGCAGCCAGAGCTCCAGCTGCCTCTCTTCCTCCTGTTCCTGGGCATCTCTGTGGTGGCAAGAATGGGGAACTTGGCCTTGGCCCTACTGATTGCTGTCAGCTCTCCACTCCACACCCCCATGTACTACTTCCTTAGCAGCTTGTCCTTCATCAATCTCTGCTACTCTTTGGTCATTACCCCCAAAATGCTAGTGAACTTTCTAGGGAGGAAGAAGAATATGATCCTTTATCTTGAGTGTATGACACAGCTCTTTTTCTTTATGGTCTTTATGGTGGCTGAGAGTCACCTCCTGACTGTGATGACATATGACCACTATGCCGCCACCTGCAACCTGCTGCTCTACAGTGTGGTCATGTCCTCTCGGGTCTGCTGCCTGGTTGCCTTTATCCTGGGCTTTCTCTGCCTTGTCCCATATGCGTGCCATGATGAAACTGTCCTTCTGCAGGTCCTACCTCATCAGCCATTACTTCTGTGATATCCTTCCTCTCCTCAACCTTCCCTACTCCAGTACATACCTCAGTGAGCTTCTGCTTTTTGTCATTGTGGGGTTTAACACCTTGGTGCCCACCCTAGCTATCTTCATTTCCTACGCCTTCATCCTCTACAGCATCCTTCACATCCAGGCCTCAGAGGGCCAGTCCAAAGCTTTCAGAACTTGCAGCTCTGATCTTGTGGCTGTGGGAGACTTCTCTGGGTCTGTCACATTCATGTATTTCAAGCTCCCTTCCAGTAACTCCCTAGACCAGGAGAAGGCCTCCTCAGTATCTGACACCACAATGATCCCCATACTGAGCCCTCTGATATACAGTCCAAGGAGCAAGGATGTGAAGGAAGCACCGAGGAAGCTTTTGGTTAAGAAATGTTTTGCTGCTGGGAATTTATAGTCAAGAGAAATAGTTTTAATGAAAATATGTTTGTGTTCATCGTGTCCTCTACTGTTCAGCATTCATACTAAAAGCACCAGGAGGAGAGCCACTCTGTCTTGCACTCCGCTGCACTCAAGTAAAATAACCAAACCTTGTAACAGAGCTTGGTAACTGTCAAAAGAATATTACAAGGTGCCTAACCAATCTCTGTGCTGTTTTATGGATGGAATCGATACTGACAGAGGGAAGCTGAGCAACTTCTGAGAAGATTGCTGTTATGAGTAAGAGTAATGACCATTTACATCATGCCTAAAAAGCTGAACACAAATTTATTTCTAGTACAAGTATAACTGGTATGGAACAAGGTCCAGAACTTGGGTGTTTTGGCTAGGGGTCTCCCCAAACCAGAGAAACCCCTCCCCTAGGAATATAAAGAAAAAAATCCCAAAGCCTCCACGACCTGGCAGGGGGAAGGGAAAGCACAGCAGGGCCCTATCTAAAGAATGTGGCCAGTATTTTAGTAATGTTAGGTAGCTGTGCCTGCCCTGCTGGAAGCCAGCGAGATGGGCACGACCCTAACTCTGTGATGTTGCTGGAGGGGCTTGCTGTGCCTGTGAGAGAGGCTTGGAGGCAGCTCCTACTGTTAAGAACGGACCTGTTGGGGGGCGGGAACAAGATACTGTTACTGAATGGACTGCTCTCTTTTTGGGTCCCTCTATACTAGGTTCACCATACCCACTACCCTTAGGAATTATTACTGTCAATGCCAGAGTCTTATAAAAAGGAAAGGAACTATTTATTCAAAGGTTATACAGGTTTAGAGTAATGGCTTAATGTCGTCTCTAAAATCCCAGAGTCCCTTAAACCAAAACACACAGTCCTTCTTTCCCCACATTGCCCAATCAGGCCAGTCAGGGATACCATATCTCAGGAGAAAAATAGGAGTCCATGGCTCATCCAGCCCTCAGTTTTTCCCGGTAATTTGTGTGCAGCTGGCAGGCCTCTGCTGTTCCCAGCACCATCAGCTGTGTCTCTTCAATCTCTAGTTCTCTACCCAAACCCATGTGGCCCCTCCTCCTGGCCCCCCAAAGAGTCTTCTCACCCCTTTCCTTCCTGCAATGTCTCTCCTGCCTTCTTCTAAATGGCTAAGAGAGAGTCCTATATGGTTGCTACATCTCGCTTTCCTGCTTCCTAAGCCCCATGGTTAAGGGAGCCCCAAACTCACAGAGTTAACCACCCAAACTACATGTTTCTACCCAAAACCAGTGATTTGCACTACATGGCTGCCATGCATAAGTTTAAATCCCAGCAGGAATCTTCCTCTGCAACTCCATTTCTGACTCCTCCCACAATCTGCCACATCTGCCAGCACTCGCATATTTTTCCAGCCTTTCTTAGCTGCCATAGTAAGTCTAGGCAGGCAGGGCCTTATGGTGTGGAGCAAACCCTCTCCAAGCTCTCACACAGAAACTCTGACCAGGGAGATCTGCTTCCCAGTTACATCACGGGTCGAAGTCACTCCCATCTCCCTGGCTCAAAGTATGGCCACAGCTACTTAACATATGTACGAAATTAACCAGCTGTTATAGATATGTTAAATAACCACAGTTTTGCAAATAACTGCAATTTTGTGGTTATTTTCAAAACTGTTGATATGCAAAATAACTCTTAATGGCCCTGCTCCATGTGTCCCATCCCCCAGTCAGACTTGTGAGGGTGAGGACATTCTATATTTTCAATATTTCCTGGACACTCTGAGTTCTGGACCCTGTTACAGATCCCTCTTTGCAGGGGGGCCCTGGCTGCACCTCATTATACTACATCATGGGATCACACCTGCCAGGACTAACAATGGTACCTGAGAAAGGGAGAAGAGACCAGAGTACTGGCAGGTGTAACCCTTTTGGAAGGAGTCAGAAATGGGGTTACAGAGGAAGATCCATGCTGGTATTTAAACCCAAGCCTGGCAGCCATGCTAGGACTTAATCAAGCAGCTCGGAAAGGAGAGCCCACTTGACCATGTAGCAGCAGTGTGGGGTCTCAGGCACATGGTTTGAAAGGATGCAGAAGGACCCCTACCAGTTCACCATTAGAATGCAGTGTTGGGTTAAGAGCAGGAGCCTAGCTGCACACGGAGGACTAGAAGAAGCTGGAATACTGATGGGAATCTTCCCTGCTAAGCTACAGACTTTTTATTTCTTATCCTGAGAGGCATACCTCTGTCTGGTCTGGTTTGACAAGGGGAGGCAGGACTATGGGTTGGTGGGTATTTTTTTTGTTTCTAAAGGGTGTGGGATTTAATGGCCCCATTCCACCATTATTCTAAACCTGTATAACTTCTGAATAAATAGTTCCTTTCCTTTTCATTAGACTCTGGCATTAGGAGTCACAGTTCTTATCGGTTCCAGGCAACACTGTAGATCCCAGAGCAACAGAGCCAGAGTAGTTCTGGAGCACAAGGACCAGAAATGTCAACACATAGCTGAGCATTAATGTGGATATATCCAGGTGGACCTGCTGTAAAGAGAAGTCCTCACTAGGTATGCTTGAGGTACTTAGAATGTCTCCTTAGAGAGTGCTCATTGTGTTCCTTAACATCTGTCTCTTCAAAGACTTCCCTTGATCAATAGTTTAACTTGTGCCCTCATCAAAGTTCACTCTTAAACTGTTATCAATATAGCCTTGAAAAAAGTGTTTCAAATTTAACTAGTCTCTGTGTCAAAGGTCAGTAACCTATGGCCTGTGGGGAATACCCTGCCTGCTGCATATTTGTGTAAATGAAATTTTATTGAAATAAGCCTTGACCATTTGTTCATGTATTTTCTAGGACTGTTTTTATGCCACCATAGCAGCATGCAATATTTGTAAGGAACAATATATTCCTCAAAACCTAAAATAATTACTATCTGGGCATTTAGAGAAAGTGTTTGCTCATCTCTGGTCTATGGAACGAGGACAATGTCACAGGTTTTTATCAAGTAGAATTGCTTCCCAAATGTCTCTATTGAAGCAACATCTTTACAACTGCCATGGATACATGTTTAAAAATTACTTTAACAAACAGATGAGGAATTAAAAAATCATCTTCACTCACAAGTGGACTAGTTATCTCCTGATGAAACAATCTAGCCCCCGGCAAGTTTCTTCAGGGCCCCTTTGACATCTTTGTCTCTCAGAGTGTACATTGCGGGGTTTAACATGGGGGTGACCACGTTGCCAAAGATCTGCACTGGAGTTACCAGCACCTCACTCAAAGATGGCTCGGTATAGATGAGGGCACAGGGCCCAAAAAACAATGTGACCACAGAGAGGTGGGAAACACAGGTAGATGCTGCCTTGCATCTCCCTTCAGCAGACCGCATGGGGAGGATTGCAAGGACGATGAGGATGTAGGAGGCAAGGATGAGGAGGAAACATACCATGGGCATGAGGCCAATGTTGGTGAAGCTCACTGTCTCAATAATGAAGATGTTACCTCAGGCCAACTTGACTATAGGAAAGATGTCACAGAAGAAATATTTTACCTCATTAGACCCACAATATGGTATTTGGAAGGTCAGTGTAGTAAGAACTGTGGCATGAAAAAAGCTAGTGGACCAGGTGCCAGCAGCCAGCAGAGCACACACCCGGAGGTTCATGACGACAGTGTAACGCAGTGGGTGGCAGATGGCAGCAAATCGGTCATAAGCCATTACTGTGTAGAGCCAGTACTTGGCACTGCCTAGAAAGTGATAAAAAAAAGATCTGGGATATGCAACCACCCCAAGAGATGACTTGGTTCCTCATCAGCAGGTTGGCCAACATTTTTGGGGTGCTCACAGAAACCAATGTCTAACACAGAGAGGTTACAAAGAAAGAAGTACATAGGAGTGTGAAAGCGGGACTCAGACATGACAGCCAAAAGGATGAGTAGGTTTCCTAGTAGAGTGCAGAGGTAGAAGATCAAGAAGACCACAAAGAGCAGAGTTTCCTGACCCTCTGTGTGTGGAATGCCCAACAGGATGAACTCTGTAACCAAAGAGTGATTCTTTATCTCCATAGAAGTTTGATTTTCATCCTGGAAAGGAGAATAAAAAAGACAATAAGTTAATGACCCAATGCACCAAAAACCACTACTTGTTCCCAGTAGATTCATTTTTTAAAAAAAACACAATGACAAACTCTATTAGTAAAAGGATAATGTTTATTGTGACTCAGACTGCAGGAGTAGCAAATGCCGAAGAAGGTTGATCTCTAGATGAGGACTGCATGCAGATGACTGGTATATGGACAGGTATTATTTTACTATTATTAGATAGATAAGAGCAAATGACAAAGTGGGTAAAAGCACTGAGGGTTGAAAAAGGTAAGAAAAACAAAGAAAGAAAAGGAAAACAAAACTGAAAAGATAAAAAGATGAGACAAATTTATTGATTATACCACATTTTCATAATAATTTTCTAGTTAAGCCTTAATAACATTTTATAAGATAGATAAAGTTTTCCTATTTTATAGGTAATGAACAAATTATAATTTGAGGAAGTTAAATAACATGGATCTTTTAACATGCAATGTATGGCAAATGTAGGATGGAGACCCAAGGACTCTAAATTTGCTGTAATATAATTAGAAAAGGAGAGAAAAAGAACTACAAAAATACAAATAAGACACATATTAATATATTCTCTAAACCGAAAGGACCTTAAAAACAATGTACCTCAATCATTCATTTTTTAAATTTATATTTCTTCATAAGCTTTCCTTTTAATTTTAATTTTTATTGAATTTATTGGAGTGGCATTGGTTAATAAAATCATATAGGTTTCAAGTATACAATTCTATAATATGTCATCTGTATATTATATTGGGTGTTGCCAATTTGTCATTGAGTTCCTCCCTGACAATTCTTGTATTAACTCTATTTCTTTTATCTACCAGCGTTCAACACTCCAGACAGTTACACAACAAGAAATGTTACCAATGCAGTCCTCACTCCGTTTGTCAGTGTACTTAAGCATCTCATGAACCTTCAGATCAAC